TGTGTCCTTGGCCCTCAGCTTTGGAGAGATGGGTTGCTGTCTTACTGCTGGAAGACTTTACTTTACATTGAGGAAGAGAGCAGGCAGGGCTGTAATAAGGGAGCTGTCACAGTAGTTAGTCAGGGCTCACATCTTGGAGAGGAACTTTTTCCACTGAGCGATTTGGGGGGAAAGTGAAAGGCCCCAGTCCACCCTCTCTTGAGTCTCTACTCTCACGTGTTTCTCTCGTTTTTGCACCTGGCAACTTGGTTTGAATGAGAGCTCCTCCATGTACAATTCAAGGCCTCTTCTACTGAGGCTGGAAGCAGAGGTTTCAGTTATATTTGTTCAAGAGAAAACGGTGATGCTGATGCATTCTTGGAGAGAGGTATTGGGGTGTGGGCACAGCCAGGGGTGGCCCCAGTGCAGGGAGACCACCATTTGTGGGGCTTCCACCCCTCTTCCTCAGAGAGGGCTTCTGGCATCCTGTCCCCCAGAGACCCAGCCTCATGCTGCTCACACTCAGAAAACAGATCCAGGAAGGACTTCGGATCAGACCCCAGCACATCTGGGACCACCTGGAGGCTGGATCCATCTAGATGTTTTGGCAACTGTTTAGGAGGATTGAAGAAGTCATCAACGGTGTTCATTTATTCATTCATGTACTCACGCATTCATTCCACGGGTGTGTGTTTGAGTGGTTAATCGAGAGATTTCAGTGGTGTGCCTTGCAAAGAGAAGGGAGTAGGTGAGGTGCTAAGGGGACAAAGTTGAGGTCAAGTCCCCCCTCCCCTGGATATTACCTTTCACTGCAGCCCAGGGAGGGGTAGATGGCTCACCCTCCTTTCTTTGAATCTCCTCCAGGGTTCCCAGCACGGGAGCTGGCAGTGCAGAGTTAGAGGCCATGGCATGCTCTAGAAGCTGAGAGGCTGGAGAGAAAGCAGGACTGAGATGGTAGAGGGCTCTGGGGTGGCTGGGAAGAGTTGGAGCTTTCTTCCAAGTCCGATCGCAGGTCACTGAGGGTGTTCTTTGGGGTGACATGACCAGCCCACTGATGGAACATCTGGTGGATTCTGTCTAGAGAACAGAGGGAAGGGGCTGGGGCTGGAGTTGGAGGTTCCTTGAGGAGGGGTGAGAGATGGTGGGGGCTGGCCCAGGCTGGGATCAGAGGGGTCAGAGGCTGGGAACAAGCCTCTTGCTGCTGAAAATGAGCTTTAACCAACCTGTTTTCTAAAGGAGACAGCCAGTGTCTATTGCTCATTTACTGTGTGCAGGATGTGAGTGTACAGAGCGGGCCTTTGGCTGTGGGGAATCCAGACAGGAATGTGCAAAAAGTTAAATAGCAGCAAGGGATCAAAGTAACCATCCATGGTAGCAAAGCCTCCCAAGGCCTGGTTACCTGTGCAAGATTACCTGTCTGGTCCAAATGAGGGACAAGTCCTGCCATCGCCTCCCTGAGAGAAGGCGCCCCTGATAGTCAGCCTGGTGGAACTAGCTTCTCACCCAGCCCCCCGCACCCTTGTGACCTCTCACTGTCCACCCAGACTGTGACGGAGACACCCAATCCCCCTCCCTCTTGGCCTGATCCGGGACATGGACTAAGCCAGTGAGGACCTTCCTCCTTGTCTCTGGCCAAGAACTTTGCCAGTTAGTGCAGAGCAGAAGGGCAAGGGAGTCACTTGACTGCTGAGTACTGAAGAGGAGCCAGAGTTTAGTGGGGATGAGCCAGAGCAAGCAGGCAGGACCTCACTTCTTTACCTTTTGCTCAGAAAAGCCACAAAACAGAGAAGTAGAGGAGGGAGGACTGATCCAGCCGCAGTGACTTATCATTTACAAGTGGGGAAACGGAGTCCTAGAGAAAGAAAGTGATGTTCTGGTGGGGGCGGAGCACGATCAGAATTAGAGGAATGAATGAACCCTTTCATCCTTCCCTCCCCTCTGCCATTTCTCTAGGCCCATTTCCACTTTCTCACTACTTCTTGAAGTTCAGTCATCGAGAGTGGATGTGATATTCTCAGAGGAGTGCAATTATCGCAAAACATAGAGGAAGGATTCATGCAGTGAGGTTCCTGTCAGGGCAGTGTGCAAAGGTACTGAGGAGGAGCCTTAGCAGCCACGGCAAGGCCAAGGGATGGTATGTGGGGTGATGCTGGGTCTCCCGATCCAGGGCCTCTTGGCACTGAAGCTTTTTGATTTTCCTCAGAGTAGGATTTGATTGTCAACTGCGAGGTTGGCCTTACTTTTCTTTCATTTTTAATTTCCTCCTCAGTCACCAGACTGATGACACTCTGATACTGCTATGCAATTTACAAGGCATGTTGGAGTCCACTGGGGGCCAGCTCAGGGTGGGAGCTGATCAAGCCGATGATGGTGCATGTGTGTGTTGGGGGATGCTCCTGACAGCCTGCTGTCCCCCCCTGCACTGTGCTGAGGCTTCCACGGGGCCCACACTGCTCCTGGGTAGCAGGTGGACTGGCAGAGCTACAATATTGCCTGAACTGGTGACCTTCATGACCACCGTTGACTCTGGCTTCCGGCTGTCTGGCCAGATGGGGCCATTTCTGGACCCCTGCTTCTCCTAGCCTGAATTCCATGGGAGCCTTGGTAGGTGTGGTTCATGCTGCAGACAGTGGCTCCCAGGGGTCTCAGGGATCTGCCCTATCTACACAGGGCCGGGCTTTTCCTATACCTCAGCTACAGGACACGTGCCACTGTGTTTTTCTCCTTCCTTTCAGACTCAGTGTTGCAAATGAAACCCCTTGGATGGGAACATTATACATACTTGCTCCCAGTGCATTTCTGCAGACAGTCAAACCCAGCTTGCCCTGCTCAAGCTCCTCTTCAAGAGGAATGCAAACCTGCCTGGACATTCTGACCTGGTCCAGCTGGGTGTCCCCTCGCCAGGGTGACCAGCTGACCGGTTTTACCCAGGACTGAGAGGATCCTTGGGATGGAGGACTTTTGGTGCTGAGACTCAGACGGTTCCAGGGGAGCTGTGACTCTTGGTCACTCTGCCCGCAGCCACCCTCCCTGCTGACCTGCCAGTCCTGTTTGGCATTTGAGAGCCAGACTTCAAGAGAGTGGTGTGCAGAGGGGGCAATTCCTTCTTTCCTTTTTCTCTTCCGCTTCCTTTTCCAACATTCATCTTCCCCCTTATAGTCAGCACCATGGGCTCCCATGCACTGTGGCCCTGGGCCTTAGGAAGGAGTTTGTTTTTCCATGTTAATTTGCCAGCTCCAAGTGTACAACCTCAAATTGAAGTCTCACAGAGCAGGGCACTTTCTTCTGGTCATCTGTAAAGAATATTCCACAGCTTGAGCCCAAGACTCTTGCTTCACTGTTTGCATCTGAGCAAAAGCAGCCTTGCTTCTACAGCTGCATGTACCTGGACACCATTCCCATCAAATTCAAATCCCCTCAGTGCTGGAACATCGGTAGTTTTTCAGCTTAGAAATCTTGGTACTCAAAGGGGGACTTAGGAATGAAAATATATCACTCTTGACCTGGATGGAAGGAGGTGGGGGGCAGTGATGAATATCTGTGTATCTTCCAGGGTATCTTCTTGGAGTCATTTCACTATTTGTTAGTTACTTTTTCTAGTGTGCAATTGGTTTGGGGGCAAATCTTTAACATCATGGGAGTGAATTCCATAAACAAAGCTTCCTTTTCTTTCCTAAGACTTTTCAATCAGCCATGCAGTGTTAGCACTTGTGGCATTCCAGCCTTAGCTGCTAGCCTTTGGAAGCAAACTGGTATTGAGGAGCTGACAAGAAGTTACTTTTCACCCCTTCTCCGCCTTAACACTGTCACTTACCACAAGGCTGGCCACGTCTAGTTATTCACAAGACTCAGTCCAACTTGATTTACAGTGTCACGCAAGCTCCGTAAGGAAAAACCAAAGTCACTGAATGCAAATTTAGAATGAAAAAAAAAAATCATTTAGTTCCATTAACACAGTGTTCTCCCAGCTTTGCATCTCTGGAGCGCGTCTTCTAGAACCCACAGCTGCCCGGCCCTGTTCAGAACACCTCTGCCTGCTCGGAAGTGCAAGCTGGATTCACATCCCCAGTTACATTACTTCTAGAAAGACAGGATCCCTGTTGGATGCCCATGAAGCTTATGCTGAGTAAATATTGACAAAGTAGTCTAAAGAGCAAACACTTTGACATTTGTAAGGTCCACTGGAAGGTCTTGTATATATTTATACAGCAGGAATGAGCACCGCATACCAATTTTCCTGAACTTGTTCTGACATAATTCTGCATGGATAGTGTGTGTGCCCGTGGCTGAGAATGGCTGAGTGTGCACACGGGAGCCAGGCCAGGGCTGGGTGGTGACGGGTCAGGGTCTTCCCTCCCATCTGGAACAAATGAGCACCTGGGCCCTGGTAGGAAACTTACTCCAAGCTTTTATGAGACTGACTTTTTCATAAGGAAGGAAAAAAAAAAGTCACAAAACCTTGTTTCTAATTTACTACAATTGATGTACTTTCTTTTTACTTTATAAAAATTGTATTGATGTTTTTGGGCTTTATATTTATTAAAGATTGAGCCTCAAAAATGTAATGAGTAAAAAATGCTTGCTTAATTTAAATTGTGAATCTGTCTGTTAAGAAATGCATTAGGGGTAGGAGAAGCATAAGACATATTAATTGACAGACAGGAACTGCTGTCTCTGAGGTTGATACAAGTAATTTATTACTTTAGAAATGAATGCCACCTCCAGAATGTGCTTCATTAATTTCAAATTTAGTTTTAATTTCAAGCTGTTGCCCCTTGAGAAGAATAAGGTGGCAAATTATGTTTGAAGAGCAGATTTTTTTTTTTTGCTTCAAAGAAACACCACATTTTAACTATTTAATTTTACCAATAAATGTGCCCATCTACTTTGCTTCATTTCCCCAAGAGCCGAGAAAATGTTCTAGGTGAGGTCAGCACTTACTAATGCTTTCTTTTTTCTTTCTCCCCTCCTCCGTGTGTGTCTTCTTTCTGTCCTACCTGTCCCACCTGTTCTCAATGCAGCCTATGTTTCCGATGAGTTAAAGGCTGCCGCCCTGGCAGATGAAGACATAGATCCAGAAGAGAGCCCTGCAGATGGAGAGCCTTCGGCTAAGTACATGTGCCCGGACAAGGAGCTCAGCAAGACCTGCCCCAGCTACCAGAACTCCCCGGCGGCCGAGTTTTCCAGCCATGAGCTGGACAGCGAGTCCCACATCAGTGAGACCAGTGACCGGATGGCCGACTTTGAAAGTGGCTCCATCAAGAACGAAGAGGAGACCAAGGAGGTGAGCATCCCGCCAGAAGACACGACCGTGTCCGACAGCCTGGAGCAGATGAAGGCCGTGTACAACAACTTCCTCTCCAACTCCTACTGGTCCAACCTCACCCTCAACCTGCACCAGCCGTCCTCGGAGAAGAACAACGGGAGCAGCAGCAGCAGCAGCAGTAGCAGCAGCAGCTGCGGCAGCGGGAGCTTCGACTGGCACCAGAGCGCCATGGCCAAGACGCTGCAGCAGGTGTCCCAGAGCCGCCTGCTGCCCGAGCCCAGCCTCTTCAGCACCGTGCAGCTGTACCGGCAGAGCAGCAAGCTCTACGGCTCCATCTTCACCGGGGCCAGCAAGTTCCGCTGCAAGGACTGCAGCGCCGCCTACGACACCCTGGTGGAGCTGACGGTGCACATGAACGAGACGGGGCACTACCGCGACGACAACCACGAGACCGACAACAACAACCCCAAGCGCTGGTCCAAGCCCCGCAAACGCTCGCTGCTGGAAATGGAAGGCAAGGAGGATGCCCAGAAGGTGTTGAAGTGCATGTACTGCGGCCACTCATTCGAGTCCCTCCAGGACTTGAGTGTCCATATGATCAAAACGAAACACTACCAAAAAGTGCCTCTGAAGGAACCCGTCACTCCTGTGGCAGCCAAAATCATCCCAGCCGCTCGGAAGAAGGCCTCGCTGGAGCTGGAGCTGCCCAGCTCCCCGGATTCCACTGGCGGCACCCCCAAAGCTGCCATGGCGGACACGAACGACGCACTTCAGAAGAACTCCAACCCGTACATCACGCCAAATAACCGCTATGGCCACCAGAACGGGGCCAGCTACGCCTGGCACTTCGAGGCCCGCAAGTCCCAGATCCTCAAGTGCATGGAGTGCGGCAGCTCGCATGACACGCTGCAGGAGCTCACGGCCCACATGATGGTGACCGGCCACTTCATCAAGGTCACCAACTCGGCCATGAAGAAGGGGAAGCCCATCATGGAGACGCCTGTCACGCCCAGCATCACCACCCTGCTGGACGAGAAGGTGCAGTCCGTGCCCCTGGCTGCCACCACCTTCACGTCCCCCTCCAACACGCCTGCCAGCATCTCCCCAAAACTGAACGTGGAGGTCAAGAAGGAAGCCGACAAGGAGAAAGCTGTCCTTGAAGAAAAGCCCAAGGAAAAGGAGAAGGCCTGTGAGGAGGAGGAGAAGTATGATATCTCTTCCAAGTACCACTATTTGACTGAGAACGATCTCGAAGAGAGCCCCAAGGGCGGGCTCGATATCCTCAAGTCCCTAGAAAACACAGTCACGTCGGCCATCAACAAGGCCCAGAATGGCACCCCCAGCTGGGGTGGCTACCCCAGCATCCACGCCGCCTACCAGCTCCCCAACATGATGAAGCTGTCTCTGGGCTCCGCGGGGAAAAGCGCACCCCTGAAGCCCATGTTTGGCAACAGCGACATCGTGTCCCCCACGAAGAACCAGACCCTGATCACTCCACCCAGCAGCCAGACCTCCCCCATGCCCAAGACAAACTTTCACGCCATGGAGGAGCTGGTGAAAAAAGTCACCGAGAAAGTTGCCAAAGTCGAGGAGAAAATGAAAGAGCCCGAGGGCAAACTTTCTCCACCCAAGCGGGCCACCCCGTCCCCGTGCAGCAGCGACATCAGCGAGCCCATCAAGATGGAGGCGTCCAGCGACGGGGGCTTCAAAAGCCAGGAGGACAGCCCCAGCCCCCAGCGGGACGGCTGCAAGGAGGGGAGCCCCCTGGCAGAGCCGGTGGAGAACGGCAAGGACCTGGTAAAGCCCATGAGCAGTGGCCTGAGCAGCAGCACAACCATCATCACCGACCACCCACCTGAGCAGCCTTTTGTTAACCCTCTGAGCGCCCTGCAGTCGGTGATGAACATCCACCTGGGCAAGGCCGCCAAGCCCTCCCTGCCTGCCCTCGACCCCATGAGCATGCTTTTCAAGATGAGCAACAGCCTGGCCGAGAAGGCGGCGGTGGCTACCCCACCACCCTTGCAGTCCAAGAAGGTGGACCACCTGGACCGCTATTTCTACCACGTCAACAACGACCAGCCCATAGACTTGACGAAAGGCAAGAGTGACAAAGGCTGCTCTTTGGGTTCAGTGCTTTTGTCGCCCACGTCCGCATCCCCGGCAACCTCCTCATCCACCGTGACAACGGCGAAGACATCTGCCGTCGTATCATTCATGTCAAACTCGCCGCTACGCGAGAATGCCTTGTCAGATATATCCGATATGCTGAAGAACTTGACAGAGAGCCACACGTCAAAGTCCTCCACCCCTTCCAGCATCTCTGAGAAGTCTGACATTGATGGGGCCACCCTGGAGGAGGCCGAGGAGGCGACGCCCGCGCAGAAGAGGAAGGGCCGCCAGTCAAACTGGAACCCGCAGCACCTGCTCATCCTCCAGGCGCAGTTCGCAGCCAGCCTCCGGCAGACCTCGGAGGGCAAGTACATCATGTCGGACCTGAGCCCCCAGGAGCGCATGCACATCTCCAGGTTCACTGGGCTCTCCATGACCACCATCAGCCACTGGCTGGCCAACGTCAAGTACCAGCTGCGAAGGACAGGTGGGACAAAGTTCCTCAAAAACTTGGACACCGGCCACCCTGTGTTCTTTTGTAATGACTGCGCGTCACAAATCAGGACTCCCTCCACGTACATTAGCCACCTCGAGTCACACCTGGGCTTCCGGCTACGGGATTTGTCGAAACTGTCCACTGAACAGATTAACAATCAGATAGCACAAACCAAGTCACCATCAGAAAAACTGGTGACGTCCTCCCCCGAGGAGGACCTGGGGACCTCCTACCAGTGCAAACTTTGCAATCGGACCTTTGCAAGCAAGCATGCGGTTAAACTTCACCTCAGCAAAACACATGGGAAGTCCCCTGAGGACCACCTTCTGTATGTTTCTGAGTTAGAGAAACAGTAGCGTTTGCTTTTGATTAAAGTGACTGTAATTCGCTTTGAGGGAAACTGTTGCAGGCACCTTAAGGCCCCTCTGTCTTGTTCTTGGCACATGTTCTTATTTTAACTGCAGAGAATCACTCTGGGCTGGACTGTTTTGTATAACTGTACAGTGTTTAATAGAGGTGCATACTCAGCTGTTGTTACTGGTAAAATATGAAGGTTAAAACGCAGTGGTAAGTGTTTGGAACTTTGTGTAAATGGGATTTAGTTGTGAGCATCCCCTGATGCTTCAAGCTGCATGCATTAACAGACAGTTTAATTAAGCATTTATGACGAAACCGGGCACACTTTTCCACGCGGCTCAAGTGTGCCGGCATTTTTCACCCTTTCATCTTTAGCCCTCTGAGTACTTTGAAGCACTTTTGCATTAATTTGGTTAAAAAATAAAATAATAATAATAATGTATGAAGCTCTGTTTTTTAAACTCCTTACCAGCTTAGTTATAATTAATAATATGAACCTCCATTTATGCAGGTCTGCAGGGGTATAACACGCCTTGAAATTTAAAAGAATATTATTTTCACATTGAAACATAGATGTATATATTGTATAGATTTCAGACTCTCTTATGAAAAATGTGATTGTGGGTAAATGACCTTTTTTCCTGCATTTATAGCAACAGTGTTTTATGTACCTGCTATGCTCTGGGCATAAGCCGTGCCTATGTATAGTGTATATTTCTTTTTCTTTTTTTTTTTAAGGTCTATGGGTTTTGTTTTTTACATGCAAACATTGTAAATTATACAGAAGATACCACAGATAGCATTTATAAAGTATACAGAAACATTATCTGAAAGCAAAGTATGATTGTTTGTTTTGCTATACAGTACATCTATATTGATAGAGGTTCACGTTTAAATTATACATATTTATTAGCATCATATTATCATTTGTTTTGAGCAGTCTGAATAAACGAGGCCAGGAGATCCATCCATGGCAGACATCATAACTATTTTGCACATTATTTTTAAAGGTATTTATTAGAAATCAAAAAAAAAAAAACACGCTCAAAATAAACTCAGTGCTCAAAGGGTTAAGTCTATTTGAAAAGGAAAAAAAAGAACAAAAAAAAAGAGAGAGAGAGAGAGAACTTGTACTGTATTTCCTAAACATTGATAAAGCCTTTAAAATGTTTGTACTGTAATACTTTGCTTAAAAGTCACGAGGCATTCTGTGATACAACCTCTTTTACTTATTTATAAGCCCTCTTGGTTGCTATTCCATATTGTAGGACGCCTTTTTATTTCAATTGGTAACTTTCTGTTTTGTTCTTCCTAATTATTCTCCCAAGATCCCACACTGCAGCTTTATCTTTAGGCTTATGAAAGGTAACCCGTGGTTACCGGCTCTCCAAGTGATTCTGTTCTTCTCCATTTTTGGCAGTTAATTTGCAGAAGTAACTGACAGCTGACACCATATGAGAACCTATGTATAAAATATTGGCATGTAAGCAGCACAGACACTCTGTGCCCTGTTTTGTTGTTGACAATGAACCACCATTATGTGACTCTTCATATAACCCTCTTTTCTACGGCAGCATTAAAATTGTCTTTTTGCTATAATTTTGTGTTGCGTTCACAATTATGTCTGAAATGTGCTACGACTAACGAGCACATTAAAATTAAATTGTATGCGATCTGTTTATGACTGAGTTGGTTGCTGTGTCTGCCAGGTGCTGGCAGTCGGAAGCCGCCCGTAAATCAAGGGAGTTTTAGTGAACTTTGGGCTTGGAGAGCAGCGAGCATTCACTCAGAGGCGGCGTGGACAGAATTCTCCCCAAGAATAAAAATGTAAAAGAAAGGAAGATGTTCCCGAGGGGTTAGATTCTTGCTGGGCAGGCGATGTTATCCAGTATCAGTAGTGGAGCCTCGGTCACACCTGGCGACCCGATGGGGGCGGGAGTTGGGTCTCCCATCTGGATGAGACAAGTCCAAGTCAGGGCCCTGAGCCCTGCCCATGGCAGATGGGAGGAAAGGTTTTTGGGCGATTCCTTCCTGTTGATTCGGGATTTTCAAGGAGCAGAAAACAGAGCCCAGCTGGGCAGGTGGACCCTGGGGTCCATGCTCTCTCTTCTGTGCTAAAGTGAGCACAGATAACGAGGTGTAGGGGGGCAGGGAGCCTGAACCCATCCACGGGAGGAGTGGGGAGAGCATTTATATGATAATCACAAGCTTTTATTAGCCCCGGCAAATCATGCCAACAAAACGCTGGGAACATCATGTAAAATTGTAAAATACCTTTATTACTATATTCAGACTACTCTTGCAGTTATGTGGAATCGTAGCTCCTAACCTAGAATTATACAAATGAGAGATGTATTACATCCATGTAATATATAAAACACCTCCACGTTAAAAAAATACTCTTTTATTAAAAATTTAAATTAAGCCCTTTCAGAGATGTTCAGCAACACGCCTACGTGGTTTTTTTTTTCTTTTCCCCATTCATCCCCACCCCTTTTTGTCAAGATGAGGCCAAAATTTCTGTCTGCTCTACTTTTCTCTCGGCAATCCATCTCTCTCTGGGTTTTTAGAGAGAAACTCACTAGAGTTTAAAATGGGTTTCTGGCAAGTCGGGAGGTCTGTCCTGGCTCTGCTTGCCCTGTGGTGCAGATAGTCGGACTGTGGCCTCAGGCACTGCGGAGGGGCTTTCCCTGCTGGGTCTCCAGCCTTGTCTTCTTCCCCATCTCCTCCCTGGTGGCCGGCAGTCCTTCCCAGAGCGCCTCTTCACCCTGTCTGCCCCTACCTGGGACATCGTAGGTTCCCCCGGGGGCCCGGCTCCCCCCTGGAACCCGGCTGGGGACAGATACACCCTCCCTGCTGTGCCTTCCGCATCTTCACATCCTGGAGCCCAGATTTCCACTCTTGAATTTTTCACAGGTTAAATATAGCATCGGTTTATTAGAATCCAAAGTCCTGCATCTAACAGATTAAACTGACAACACTTCCATCACCACCAGGGCCCATGTGGCTTGAAGGGAGAGGGGATTTGTGCAAGTGAGGCTGGGAACCCCACCCCGCATTTACAGTTTGGGAGAAGAAGCTGATGCCCTGCCCATCTCCTCCTCACCCTACCTGCAGGGTTAGCTTGAGGACGTCAGTTTGGGTATAGAAGTGAGGAGTTACTGCCAAGACAGGTAGCAAGTTCTATGACTCACTTGGCCCCCGAGGGTATAGCCAAGAAAGGACCACTCATACTAATGGGGCCCAGAAATTAGCTTTACCTCCGGAGGATGCGGTGACTAGGCTGTGAAGGGCCTGAGGGGTGAGTGCAGCCTGACCTGGTACAATGGCAATTCCCCAACCATGCATCATGAGAGGAGGTGGGGCTGGCTGGGACCTCATCCAGCGTGGAAATGGAGGGTCGTTTACTCTCAAGGTCATCTCATCAAACCCTTCCCTGGCTGGAGAGTGAGCCGCTGCCCGAAAGAGCCTTCCAGTCACAGCCCAGAATGGCCCTGATTTTCCTGAGATCAGTAGGGAAGATCTAAAGTTGCATTCCAAGTGCAATGTAGTTGTGCACTAGTTCTCCTACCGTTGATGTTAATAGAGAATGTGAGAGCAGGCAGGAAGGGTCATCCAAGTCAGGTCTTTAAAAGATTGCAGGGAGGCGGAGGGATGGAGCCAAGTGAGGGAGGTTTTAATCACAGGTGTGTAGGTGACCCCGACCTCACCCCGCCCAAGCCCAGGCTTGTTGCAGCCTTACTGTATATCTTCGAGCCATCACATTTACGCAGTATCTTAAAATAACATTTGTGATAAATGTGCAATTTAACTAATTTATGGTGCTATGATGTGCTCAGGGCTACATGCAAGATGAAAATCTTAAATGGAGCTTGAACAGCTCACTTCACAACAAGAAATCAATATGCCACATCTTAGCTATTCGCTGCCGTCAACATTTAGCAAAAAATATCAGTGATGTATCTTTAAGTTTGAGGCAGCAAGAATTCTATAATTAACCAAAATCTTACATAGTTATAAAGAGGGTGGGTTATGATGAAGACCCAGATCTCCCTGGCATCTTCGTTCTATTTTCATTCTGCAAAAAGGAAAAAAAAATATTGATAACCACCAAAGAGGTGTTTCTTTGCCGGGTGCTAAGGAGAGCTTAGGTGGAGGTGGTTAGCCTGGGAGGGTTCCCCAGCAGAGCTCAGGGCTGTGGTCTGCAGATCTAGAAGAATTCATTCTCTTAAAATCAGACCACGCCAACTAGGTGAACTTCATGGCCCTCAATCCCTGACCTACCTATTGTTTCACAGACCTGGTGACTGAATACTTGACAAAAGGCCATAGTAACTGCCAGCTCTGGGGAGAGTCAAGCTCCCATCTTGAGAGCAGAACCCTGAAGAGAGGAGTCTGAGAGTGGTCAAAAGACAGGAGATGATGGGAAGAAACAAGGCCGAAATGAACAAATCCAGTACTGAAACTATTGTTTCCTGAGATTTCTAAGTCATCCAATAGAAAAAAAAAAATCAAATGATTTTATTTTTTCAGATTCATCTGTGCAGCTCTTTTGAAATTGGAAAATTGCAATCACATTTTATTCTGTTGACTATTTAGCACAAAAATAATCCACTTGGTATTAAAGGAAGCAATCATAAGAATGAAAACACACAAATCCCAACACCACTCTTTAATAATAAATACTTTAACTTTAAAATAATAGCTATTATCCTTTTAGCTAATGGAGAAATTACCATTTTTACTCTGCCAGATAGTTATTCTTTTGGTAATAGAAACACTAACCTTTTTTCTCCCTAGGGATTTATTAGTAAGCACGTGTATTCTTTGGCAAAAGGGAACCTGAAAATGCATTTCCCTGGGGACCCGGCGCCAGTCGATGCCTTTCAGCCCGCGGCTGACCTCGGAGACACAGAAAAGGTACTTGCGCTTCTGCTCCCACGCAATTCCAGGGTGTGCTGGCCTTTGCAAAATATGCTATAGTTAGCTTCAAAAACCA